TATACAAAATAGAAAGGTATGGAATATTAGAAAAGAACCATGAAAAATTAAATATTTTCTCAAACATTATTAACGAACAATATTTAAAACTGACAAAAGTGCAGCAATAAAAAAATATTCTATATTATTTTTTCTTATAAACTTTTTGGATATTTGAACACGTTATCTCTTTTCTGAAGCTGAATACATTATCTGTAATTTTTTAAGTTATTATCATATTTAAAAAATTAAAAATTGAAATTCTGAATCTTTTATGGATCCATTGCTAAATAATAAAATAATGCTGGAGTCGATTATATATCATTGTTGTTGCATGAAAATATCGTCAAAATAAAAATCGAAGGATCTGATTATTTTATTCGTCAAAATACTGGAATAATCAGATTATTTTATTTTTAATTATTTTTGCATAAACACTAGATATATTTAACTTTCAAAAAATTTTGATTTAAACATTCCTCTTGTGAAAGCCACTCATCTCACTGCAGTAAAATAAATGCATATTCTATAAATTCTTTAAAATTTACGAATTTTAATATTTCATAATATTTCAAAAAATCTAGATACTCTAGTTATATTATTGATTGGTGATCTTAAATAGACATTTACGTATGTAAAGTTATTTGCTATTATTGCATTTGTTAAGTTATTATGTCACTTATTATTTTTTTCATTAATCACCTTTATTGGAATTCACTTTAAATTTAAAAAATGTATTATTGTGCACACACATGTCGTGTAATGCGAGTTAAAAATTTGGCATTTTTGAATTAAAGAAAGGAACGATAATTTCATGCAGGTAGAATAGAAATGTTGCGTTTAGCAAAACTATAGATATGTCATAACGCATAATAATAAAAGCGAAATGGCATATGACGAGTCGACTGTATAATTTATTCATGTATATTTACCACGTGAACGTCCTTCGCACGTGAATCCTGTCTGAGGTAATGTCGTGTAGGCGGGATAATCGATTCCCGGCTCACCCGGCACATTTTTTCTGATGTCGGATAAATCTGAAAGAGAAAGAAGGAGTGAGAGGTAGCAAGATTCATTACCCTACGGCAAATAAACTATGCCATTTAGGAATTATTTTCAAATTAATGAGCTACGTAGAAACGAGTTATCTTCACGGTCTACAATTTTGTTAAAAGAGTCGTATAATATAATTTGCACAATTTTGACGAATTTTTTTTCGTTTTTTCATTTTCTCCCAAAATTAATATAAATTTAAAAAGCTGTATACATATAAAGCCCGCAAGGAAAAACATCAGTTCAGTAATATCGTCATATTTAGAATCAAAGGTAAGATTGGTAATTAAGGTAACGCTTATTTATAGGATAAAAATTACTCCATCGTTCAATTATAAAAAGAAAAAAAATTAAATAAAAAAATGTCATTAAGCACGTGCACCAAGCTTCACCGTTAATCGCTGATCAAGGTCGCGGAAAATAGGCCGCAGTGATCGCGCTACGTCGGTGATATTTAAGATTTCGCTGCAGTTATCGTTCGTGCTCAGACAGATAACGTCTCGCAATTTGCCGCATCCATATAATCAGTAAGGTTTTTCATGACCTATCCGTGACACGGTTTTTTATATAAAACATCGCGGTACCTTTCACGAGGCGAGTGACGATCCGCTTGTCTCGTCGGAGTTAAACGCGAATTAATAGTTATTCGCGCGCATTTGACCGCTTTTAGAGCGGCAGTTAACGAGACATTTCCAATGTTTTTCTAAGTAACGTGAATAATTTTACGGTAGCAAAAAATTAATTCGTCAATTTTCGAGTTATGATTTTTCATAAAATTGCCAACTGCGACATCGACAAGCTTCTTATATTTAATTATCGCCGCCTCCATTCGTTGCTGCGCGTAGGATTAATTGAGAGATAACTGCCCCACAAGAATTCCGCGCGTCGTGGGGGGAAAATAATTGCGTAATGCACAAATGAATGTATCCTCAATCGAAGGTATAAAACTATTAAAATGCAATAACAAAAGAAAGGCATTTAACAATAAGAATGCAAGTAGAAGTACCACTTTAGAAGTTACAAGATTGCAAGAGATACAAGGAAAGAAATAGATTTTGAAAGGTGGCGTCTTAGGAAATTGTTACAGATTTTTAAGGTTCTTGAAGTTTAGAAAGTTCAATAACTTACCCGTTATATGATCGTACGGATCGTACTGACCGCCCGCGGATCCATAGCTGTCGAATGCACCGTCCTCGTTCGGATCGAAGTACTTCCTGCAAAGGCGAGCGGATTTAATTAAGTCGCTTAATCGAATTCGCGCGCGGAAGAAGCCGCTTAGCGAGAACGAACCTTCCTCTAGTTCCATCGATCGCTCTGCGTGACAGGAAGCTCCTCCGAGGAATTCCATGTTCAAGACTCCGCTGAACGATGCACAAGACCGCCGTCACGAGACCTGTGTGCGAAGGAGAGAATCTATAGATTACTCGCAAAAAGGTACGCTTGAATGAACATTATAAATTATGTGGCAAACATTAAAAGAACTTGGCGATTTGATTAAAATATAAAATTCAAGATTCTTTAATACCAGAATGATTTTTATTTATTATCGATTATAATTTAAACAATATTATAAACAACATTATAGACAATAGAATATGTCTATAATATTATCGACAATATTATAAATTCAGCAAATATTGATTATAATTTGTTATATTCATAGACAATAATACATTGTAATCTAGAAAGAGAAAGGTTTCGATTAAATCCAAATTAAATTTTCTGGCTAATAAGCGAGGGAAATCTCGGTGTACAAATATCCTGGTGTTTCTTGCACTCAAACAATAAAATGAATTCTAATTCCTCGATCCTCGCGAAGCGTCGTAGTCGCGCCGATCGCTGAAATATCGTTCGATTTCGATTTCGTAATCGGGCGAGCGTGGCGTGAAAGGTCGCCGCTTGGGATAGAACATCTTCGTTGTACTTTTGAGGCCACGTTAAAACCCAACCCGCGCTCTACAATCGGTTAGGCAAGGTAGCTCTCAATTCACGATCGACCATGAACGATCGTCGTCGTCACGACTTGGCAGTTGATCCCGAGAAGCCAGAGTCTTCTACGAGGATAACGCGAGCCTCTCCGCTTGATTTATCGCGGCGAAAGAGTTCTGTTCTCCCTCATAATTCATATTCGCGCTTAGATGATGCTAATGATTGATGCTGCAGTATTATCTATAGTATTATCACGACATTTATCGCGAATAAACAAGTAAACAGGATTGTTCGCCTTGAAACGGCGACTACGGTAGACGCTTTCTGTGGCATTTCGAAAAACAAGATAATAATTCGAGATAATTGTCATCGCATTATATAACGCAGTTATATAATTATATATAATTTAATATTACGCAATATAACACGATAATGTGATTCGAGGGCTCTCGCTGATCGTTTAGATGACGCCAATAAAGTCACGTTTCTCTGGCTACAATGTGCAACTTTGTCTCTCGACATTTCTCTTAACATATCTGTAGGAATATGTTAAGAAGAACTTAGTATTGAAAAGATTAAAACGTTAATTGCTATTAGCTGAATAGGATTATTCATTCAAACTGCAACACTAGATTTATTTAAATTAATATATTAAAAATATTTTATCTTAAAAAATGTCTTCAATGTTTGCGAGTATCGTATAATAAAGATTTTCTTTACTAAAAAGGTTTACGATTTAGAAGAGTTAAGATATTAGTTGCAACGCGTAGTTTAATAACGTATTATTACACGTCTGCCATGTAAAGCTGTCGGAGCTCGATGTCCTCCAGTAATTTCGTTGTCATTATCCGTAGTCAGCATGTAAAATCTTTCGAAAGACCGACAGGCCGACAATATCCACTTTATAGAGTGATGTTCTTAAACGCACGTGCTCTCTCTCTTTCGCATTGTGGCTGCCATTTTCAATGGCATTAAAAGGACGCAAAGGCCACGAGAAACGAGCACAAAGACCGGTGGTCGTGATAGAGCGAGTGTTATTCGGTGTTACAAATCGCTCGATCCGCGAGAAATTGTCCGTGAATTATTTTCCGTCTGACTCATCGCGAAATTAATGATCAGATGATACAAAAGATATGCACGCAGAATGGCGCGACCCCCCGCGAGAAAATGTCGAGTAACTTGCGATTGCGACGAGACGAGACGAGTAATTAGCGGCGCCAATTTCCGGCGAAAGTGTCCTCGCGAACAGCGTTCTTTTAATATTCGCGTCGCTGAAACCCAAGACGAATCGGATTTCACGGTACCGCTTGAAACGATTGTTCGAGTCAATTCCGCTGACTACTGAGGACTTTTTGCATTGAGCTAATTGAGCACTTGCAAAGATATATTAAATTTAAGAGATTTGGGCGTCGGATACTTCAGAATAGATATAAAAAAGCGACAATTTTCTTATTGTTAGTAAAATTTCAGTCCATTTCTATTGTACCTTTGTAATTTTATGTGTTTGAAAATTAATTATTTTTTATCGCGTATAATACAGCTTCAAGCAAAAGTTAAAAAAGCGACAACAACAATTTTCTTAATAAAATTTCAGTCAATTTCTTTATAATTCTTTATAATTCTACACGTTTAAATACCTTGAAAGTTAATTATTTTTTATCGCGCGGTATAATTCAGCTTTATGCAAAAACCTATTTCCATTTACTTATTTATATCTTTGCACCTTAACTCATCGAAATATTAAGCAAAAATATTCAGATACAATTTAAACTAAGAAAGATTAAATTTAATTATATCGATGTTCTCGTAGCGGAATCGCAATATAATTTTGCATTTTTGTAAAAGAGTATTCGGAATCAAGAAATTTCCATAAACTCGAGATGGACCAGCTTCATTAAGCAGTCAGCGCATCCATATAATATTATTATTAGCACTCGTCACGAGCTACACGTCCACCAACATTAAATCAAAGCGCCGACGTATTTCAGCACGTGAGCAATAAAATTCTTCGCGGTAATCGCTGCAATTTACACGGCACATTTGTAAAATACACGTAAACGCGTCAGATTTACGAAATCATGACAAAAAACCGTAATAATTCTGATGTGCGTAATACTTCGGTGTCGCGGAGAGATTTAATTTATGAGCGTGTTACTTCTCGATGTTCTTTCTAAACATTACGTGAACGTCATCTTGCATGAATGGACCGTCGCGTCGGTCGCAGCGAAACGCGGATAAGTGATATTTTCTTAATTATAACTGGATCGCGGACGACATGCTTAATAGTCGATGATTGATTAAACTCGCTACCGAGATACGAAGATGCCTGAGAGATCTGTCGTTGCGTAATGTCCGCGAGTGTAAAACACAGAGAGGGAAGAGGAGAGCAAAGAGCTTCATAAATTAATTTCTTCAATCGTAACATGAATACTTTATGACTTCAGTTTTCTCTCATGATTAGCCTTCGGTTATAACGCCAGATGAAATCGATTTACGGCAACTACGATAGCAATATTTTCTCATTGAATTATATACCGTTGCATATTACTATAATTTAAAATTTTTAGGAGTTGCGAAGTGAAATAACGTGAAAATCTTTGATATCAATGGCTGATTTAAGTACGTTAAAGTCTATTACTTTAAAGAAATTGTTAGAAACAACCTCTTATTCAAATGACTTTTCTTATCTTGACTTTTTCGTTAATTCAAAAGTTTCTAGATACTCACATTTAGTTAATGCCCACAACTCTGATTAATACGCTCAATTATCTGGCAATAGAGAAAATCTAATCCGTATTGATTGGAACCATTAATTTATATATCTTTTAATAATGAGCGTACGAAATGCAATTATAATTGTATTTAAGAATTAGAACGTAACGTTATCGGTTGATAAAATATTTAATGAATCACATCGGTATGAGGTATTATCAGGATTTTTTTTAATTATTAAATGATCACTTTTGTTCTATAAAAATTAACTTATATTTCGTGAATATGTATGTAAAAATATCATACAAAGAATAAAGATGTTATGTCATGGCACAATTCCATATCACTGCACGACTGCGATCGTCGTAAATTCTTACGAATTCGTCCCATCGCCGATCGAGTCATCGAGTTCCCATCGAGATAATTGACTCACGATCTCCGGCGCACGCTTTCGTTATTTCACTGTTGCTGTCCGCTGTGATCGGCATGTCGCGTCGTTAAAAAAAAATTATTCTATTCTGATCGATGACAACCCGAATGCGTCGATTAACATACATAGCCGGGTTGTCTTACCTGCCTGCGGCGACAAACTCTAACAACACGTGATCAAAATAAACGAGGGACGAGAGGCGCGAGAGGTTGAACACTATCACTCGTGTGATCGACACATGATAGCCGGATCGCGGGACTCCACGTTCGGGACTCCAGGTTCCCACACGCGGCGGGCCCGAGTCTCGGACACGTGCGGACACTTACACAGAATACGCAGGCTAATTTTCGGCATTTTGTCCGGTGTCGCATGGGCGGTTTGCGGCGGACGGGGCCCCGATTACGCTCGTCCACCGTGAAAAGCGGCGGTGGATGCACTGCGCACCTCGGCGCGATCACCTCGACTCAGCTCTCGACGGGCTCTTCCTCTCGGCCGGGGCCCGTCCGTCGCCGCGTCTCCTCGCCGGCCCCGGCCGGCGCGGTAGGGATCCCTGATCGTGGGACCTCTTACCTTTCTTCTCGCGGGGCCCTCTCACCTGCGCCTATCTACGAGCGGCCGGGCCATCCCTCGCGTGAGGAGGAATTCCGCGCGGGTCGCGCCTCTCGCCGGAATCTTTCCGTGCGCGGAGGATCCAGCATCCTCGCTTCTCCGTTCAGAGGACAGATGAGTTGATGGTACCGGTCGGTCAGATCAGATTTTCTCTGTTGCCAGATAGTCGAACATCTGAAACTATTCTGATAACATCTTGAACCGATTAATACGAGTATCTAAGAGACTTTAACATGGATCCATTGTTATTAGCCGAGTGCTAGCCTGTTAGAGAGCATTTACTAGACGAGTGTTTCGGCACTAAGCAAATAATTGCTCGTCCATTACTCCAAAATTGTAGGTAATATGCAAATTCAGATAATTCTTGTGATCGAAGAATATTGAAGTCGTCGGTCCTTGAGACGTAGAAAGCGACGTTATACCGCTATCCATCCATGAAGGATTAATCCGATACGCGCGGAGGGCTACGTGTAATCGAAGCAAGGCGACACATTATATAAGTTCGATGACATTGCCTCGGTTCGCGGCACGCACACGTGACCGTTTTCGCCTTTTGCATAACCGGCGATCTCGTCTCTCCCACCTACGGCTTTCCTCTCAGCGCGGAGTGACCAGCTTGCAGTATAAGTCATACACGCCATTTTCACCTGGTGCGTGCGATTTTTCGAGGCCGCGGTTCGCCTCTCGCTCGTTATGTTGTACGAGCGTTACAACGGGTCAGCGATCGGTATCTTAATTAAGAGCGAGCACTCACGTGGCCCCCCCGGAGCGAAATTTTTTGTTTAATTAAATTTTTTTATGGCAGCAGGGAGGGGCGCTTGCGTGGCAAACCGCAGGCTATTACGTTAAAATTAGAGCCTGCTTTCGTCAACACGCGCGAAATGTTACGTGTATAAGATATCGCGGGGAATCGGGATAGATGTACGAGGTACACAGGGTATCCCAGAACTTTGATGTGGTGAGAGATTTGAACTAGCAGACACGTTTAAGGAAAATATTTAAAACTTTTTTTAAAAAATAATTATCATATAAATTACTTTTTCACTCATTGTACTTTTAAATTACATATTACTGACTCATTATTTCTAATTTATTCTCGAATTTGTTATAGAATTACGTGTATGATAAAATAATTGATAAGATAAAAATAATATCCTAATTAATTTTTACGGTCGATGTTAATTTCACGTCGATTAGGTTTACGTCGAATGTGAAGCGTAAATCGTAATGAATCGTGAATCCGTGCCTGTCGCGGAACGTTACGTGAAGCCGGTCAGTGGGTACGCATTGCATTCTCACGTAACAGTGGCGGGATGCTGCTGGAGCGAGCGGATGGTGATGCTCGCGCTCGCTCTCTCGTCCCTTTCTCTGCTTCTCATCTTCGCCGGGTGACTTGTAACAACGGCAAACGCAACCATTTACGACTCCGTTACCGGAGTCTTTCTGCTTTCATGCAGAACGGTACCGTTCGCGCGCGTTGCGTTCGCTCTAATGGCGAAAGACGATCGGCAAAAAGGTTTATCTTGCGTCACGTTGCTCCTCGCGATACGCATTATTCGTGATAGCGTTCGAAACACAGTCGTTCACGAAGTTCCAACTTGCCGCTCCTCGAGGAATCTTGCGAGTTTTTAAGACGCAAGACGTCTTAATGAAACTTTAATCGCAAAAGAAAGTTTCTAGTCTTACGTTTGTGTAATGTCTGCTCACTTTCAGTATAATTATTCTGTACGAATATTATTTTGTAACATAACATCGATGCACTTAAAATGATAGAGTACTGCTTATAATTGAAATTAGTTTAATTAATCGAATTGAATGTTTGAGTTAAATTTAGGTATATTGGAGCTTGTTTAAACCTTGTTATTGTTATGCATTACAAATCGAACAAACCTTCCCTTAATTGTTGCGAGAAGGAGAGAAAAGGCATTGGAAAGGCACGATCCATTCATGTATTTTTCCGAGTCTTTTGTTCAACCGAGAAAAGTCCATACAAGGATTTAGATCACGCAGGACGTTGTGCCGTGACATTAACGGAATTGCAATCGACGAGGTCGAATATGACGAGTATAATACTCGAATAGTTGTGTATAATACGAGCTAAGTCGCGGGAAACAGAAGACATTATAGAATATCTTTATGAAAGAGACGGTTTTTTTTTCTCTCTCTCTCTCTTATTCTATGAAATAATCATACAACGATGTGGCGGCGAAAGGCAAGGGGAAGAAATCCTGTCGTCAAGGATGACGATCGGTCGCCTGAGCTCGTCAAAGATGAAATTTATTAACGTTCGGTAGCGTCCGCAAAATAGCGTTTGCTTATGCAAATCAGAAAGACGCCGGTATTTGCTCGCGCAAGTATTATTATTGACTTTCATCGGCGTGACCCTGTTTGCGACTCGCGTATATATGGATGCAGTATGAAAGGGAAGTTGCACACTGGGGACTTTCTTCGCTGAGAAATCGTAAGTAAACCGAAAGCAAAATATCATCGCGAGCGTGCAACTTTTCTTTAGCATTTCGATTCCGTCACCGATGTTAAGAAATATTAACGCGTATTACTTTTATTATTATTAGAAGAAGACGGTATCAATTTTTGAGCGTCGATGAAAGGTACAATGTTTAAAGCTGATAACGAAACCAAGATTAGAATAATGTTGCTTAGCTAATAATTTAAAATTATTTCGCAGTAATTTATATCCACAGAACAAACAAGAATAAAAAATAAAAGTTATTTTTTAAATTTGTTTTTTAAAGAAATAGAATTAAACTACTCTCTATGTCCATAAGTGCAAGCATTTCGGTAATGATTTTCCTACGCAGTCATCCTGAATAAATGATCATGGACATTACGAAAAAAGTGAGATTCATCGAAATTCGAGCAATCTTGCGAGAGGCGAATATTTGCACAGATTACGATCGAGTAGATAGATGCGTTCACGGTGCGTAAGTATCGTAATGAGTTGCGATGAATCGAGACACATGTGTAATGATCCATCAGCCAATTTCGCATGATTCGATAATTATCGATACCATTACGTCCAAGACTTTTCCTCGCCGAAGGCTGACTGCGTTTGCCGTTAAGTTAACGCAAATTTCGTAATTTCCGTTCTCTTGTGAAAGCGCTCATCGCACAGTCGCGAAGCCAGGCGAACTAATATTAGCGATCTGGTTCAAAATCATTTACTTCTAATTACATCTGTATTGAATGGAGTAACTGACGGTATGCGCGGTCTTTAGTAATTAAATAAAATTTGATGCATTTATTAGATATTCAGCTGAGATCATCATTAAATTTTGAAATCATCTTGTGAGGCAATATCACGTGCGTCCATATTTCGTAATCAAATCAAATCTCGTTCATTTTTAACATATTATTGTGACGCGCCTTATTATTTATATCAAATAATTTAATCATTTTATAGAAATGTATATCTTAAGAAAACAATTTGATATTCCTTGCTTGGACAAACAAAAAAAGGAGATAACATAAAAATAAATCTACCTCCCGAAATATCATTTTTGTCAAGAGGACCGCGGAGAACTCATTATCGTGCGTTTCTTTTTTCGTAAAATTATTACAAGAATAATTCTACCTTTCGAAATATCACTTTTGTCAAGAGGACCACAGAGAACTCGTTAGCGTGTGTTTCTTTTTTCGTCAAATTACTGTTTCAATTATTTTTAAGTCCCTTTGCCGTCATTTACGCGTGACGATCCGTACTTTCTACTCTCGCTCGTTGATTAGGCGCTCCTTGAGAGACGCAATTAGCACAGGTGTAATGAGTTCTCTTGTCGACGTTCGCGAACGTGTCGTGAAAATATCGGTCGCGCATCTACATTCTTCCGCGTGGCGGAACGCGTCGCGCAGATCGTATCTAAATAGCCCGCACACGAATATGCAGGCCGTGACTGCCGTGAGAACAAATTGGGTAAAGATTACGGCGTTTAGAGAATGGGGGAAAGGACTCCTCTCGGTTCTCTGCCTTGGATGTGGAAATCTGTTATTACGTCGTCACGATCCTATATCAGCGATATGCTCTCGACGTTACAATCGTTAGGCGATAACATCGCACGTACGCGGTGGATCAAAGTAATTGACGCGGTTCCGTGTTTCTTGCGATTCGTCGTAATCGAAGGGCTTGGCAAAACGTGATGTATTTAGCGGGCACATCTGTGTGTGTGTGTGTGTGTGTTGTCTTGTCTTTACAAAAATTATATTTCTAAGAATTTTCAATTTTGATGTCTTTTTTATTTACAAATTCTTCAAGCGTTTTGAAAAAGATTTTCTTTGTGGCATAATGTATAATTTGTTTAATATAATCCATTTTGTGTGTAATTTATTTATTTATTTATTTAACTTGCATGAAGTATAATCTAACGCAATGTAAAAAGATTGTAAACTCATTTAATCTATTCTCTGTTAGAAATATAATTATTGCTCTTGATTTATTCTGCATAGCATTACTAGAATTAAATCATGTACATTCACAATATTGTTTATGCCTCCCTCATTTTTGTAATAATCTCAGGAGCAGTTTCGCAAGTCGTTCTATTTTTGAACTTCACGTGTGGACAACTTTCTATCAGGCCCACCTTCTTGACCTTTTTTATGCCAGTTCTCGATGTACAGCTGACATAAAAAATGTCCCTTCGAGATGCGATTCGGACATTTATGGCGCAGAAAAAGAAATCTTGATCGGCATTAACTTTCGAAAAAATAAAGTAATATTTTTAGGATCCCTTATATAAATTTTTCAATTCTGAAATAATACTTATTTTATGAATTATTTTATAAAATATAATATTTGCTTTATCTTTAAAATTTTTTTAAATTTT